TTACACCTTTTTTATTATTATAATTATTATTATTAATTTAAAAAGTCCTGTGAACATAATAATAGTAGTAGTTATAATAATCTATGGTTTAGCGTTTTAAAATGAAGAAATTAAGACCGTCATAAATATTAATATTGTGATTTGTCAGTTGCAGTGTGAAATAAAATTATATTATTTTTCTAAAATTAAAAAAAGAATAATTATTATTATTAAATGTTAAAAAAAGTTGTTAATTTTAGTAATTAATAATTGAGTCAAAGTTAACTAATTTATAAGAGTCCATGCAACAATAAACGTGTGTGTGTGTATAAGATTAAGAAAAATAAATACTTTTAGTAATAATTATACTTGTTATTATTAGTATTATTAAATTTTTAAAAAGTTCTGTGAACATCTGAGTAATGATTTGGTTAATTGACATGATATTAATGAATAATCAGTTCAAACTCTTTGGGAGTTTAATTCGGACACTATTAAATCGTCTGTGATTTTAGGTGCAGGTCCAGGCCTTCTGGAAGCAGTTCCTCCTCGCGCTCCAGTTCTCGGTCGTCTTCTCGTTCTCCTCCTCGCAAGCGTGGACGCCGCTGCACCAGATCGTTACGCCGCTCTCGTTCGGGTTCGGGTTCGGGCTCGTGCTCTCCTGAGCCGGACTGGAGATGGACGAGGTTAGTGTGAACGCAGCAGGACAGTGCGATTCTTCTGGTGTTGATTGTGAGTCTAAACCAGTCGCTGTTCTCAGTCGCAGAGAGAAGGAGCTAAACCGCCGACACGAAGAGGCTCGTAAACTCCGCCAGCAGAAAGCCATCGTAGGTGGCCAAGCGTTAGATTGCACCGTGTGTGTTTGTGTCTGTGTCTGATGATGGGTTTGATCCTCAGGAGGAGCGGAGGGTGGTGTATGTGGGAGGAATCCGGGGAAGCATGTCACCGTCGGATCTCAAAGATCGATTCTCGCTGTTCGGGAAGGTGGAGGATTGCACGGTCCATCTCAGGAGTCACGGGTGAGATTTACACAGACAAACCAGCAAAGCAAATCAATAAAATAACATACTATTATTATTATTATTATATATTTCTCAAATACTCGATTTTTTATTTTACAGTAAAATATTACAAGATTAATATTTATTATTTTTATTTAATAATTTAGTAGTATTTATTGAGTAATTTTTATGTTTTCATTTAGTAACAGTAGTAATAATGATGGTTTAATGTTTTAAAATAAATATTAATAATGTAATTTTACTGTTGTAGTGTAAAATAGTTTTTTTTCTTAAATACTACGTTTTTTTATTTTACAGTGAAATATTAAAAGATTAATATTTAGTCATTTAGTTGTAGTTTGAGTCATTTTTATGTTTTCATTTAGTTGTAGTAATAATAATGATGGTTTAATGTTTTAAAATGAAGAAATTAAGACATCTGTAAATATTAATAATGTAATTTTACTGTTGTAGTGTGAAATATCTTTTTTTTTCTTAAATACTCGATTTTTTATTTTACAGTAAAATATTACAATTACGATTAATACGATATATTAGCGATGTTACGAAATATTACAATTAATATTTAATTATTTTTATTTAGTAATTTAGTTGTAGTTTGAGTAATTTTTATGTTTTCATTTAGTAGTTGTAGTAATAATGATGGTATAATGTTTTAAAATGAAGAAATTAAGACATCTGTAAATATTAATAATGTAATTTTACTGTTGTAGTGTGAAATATCTTTTTTTCTTAAATGGTAAAAAAAAATTATTTTACAGTCAAATATTACAAGATTCATATTTAGTAATTTAGTAGTAGTTTTTGAGTAATTTTTATGTTTTCATTTAGTGGTAGTAGTAATAATAAATGTTTTTATTTTACAGTAAAATATTACAAGGTTAATATTTATTATTTTTATTTAGCAATTTAGTAGTAGTTTTTATTGAGTAATTTTTAGGTTTTCATTTCGTTGTAGTAGTAATAATGATGGTTTAATGTTTTAAAATGAAGAAATTAAGACATCCGTAAATATTAATAATGTAATTTTACTGTTATAGTGTAAAATAGTTTTTTCTAAAATACTCAATTTTTTATTTTTATGTTTTCATTTAGTAGTAGTAATAATGGTTTAATGTTTTAAAATCAAGACAGACTTAAATATTAATAATGTAATTTTACTGTTGTAGTGTAAAATATATATTTTTCTTAAATACTCGATTTTTTATTTTATAGTGAAATATTACAGCAAGGCAAGTTTATTTATATAGCACACACAAAGGTTATTGAAAGTGCTTTACATAAAAAGGAATTAAATAATCATAAAACAAGAAATAAAAATAGAGACTAAAAAATATTTCAAAATGTATTTACATTAATAATAAAGAGGATACATAAATGAAATACAGTATTAATATTTTGTTTTCATTTAGTAATTTCTGTTTTTATGTAGTAGTATTAATCATATTCGATTCTTTATTTCGTAAAACAAACATCCATAAATATTAATAATGTAATTTTACTGTTGTAGTGTAAAAATCTTTTTTTCTTAAATACTCGATTTTTTATTTTACAGTCAAATATTACAATAGTAATTTTTCTTTTTGATGTTTTCATTCAGTAGTTGTACTGATACTAAATAATGTCATTAATTTTGGTGCATGACTGTCAGAACACAAGTGTTTGTGGGCTTCTGTGATCTCAGCGTGTTTCTGTCGTTCTGTTCTCTTCTTTAGAGATAACTACGGCTTCGTCACGTATCACAGCACAGACGACGCTTACGCTGCTATTGAGAGCGGCGGTAAACTGAGGCGGCCAGACGAGCTTCCCTTCGACATCTGCTTTGGCGGCAGACGACAGTTTTGTAAATCCAACTATGCAGATTTAGGTCGGCCTCCTGAACGATTTCTCATTTCATATTACTTTGTTGTGCTGGATTTTTAGCTGATATGAGGAGAAAACGAGTTTTGCATCGTCTGTTAAGAGTAACGGAGTAAATCACGCATCGACTTAGCGTGCGGTTTAATTAAATAAATATATGCGCTGCGTGTTTCAGAGTGAAAATGAAGAAATTAGGACATAATTAGCCATAAATATCAGTAGTCATTTCACAGCTCTAATATAAAATACAATTATTATAACACTATTTTTCTCAAATACTAATTTTTTATTGTTTATTATTATTTTATATTACAATATAAAAAAATTTTTTTTTTTGTAGTAATAATAATAATCAGTGGTTTAACGTTTTAAAATGAAGAAATGAAGACAGACATAAATATAAAATTTGTATTTTAATTTTTTTTATTTAATACAATTTTATTGTAATTTTTACAGATGTAATGTAAGATAAGGTTTTCTTAATTTTTATTTCACAGTGAAATATTACAATATTAATATTTATTTTTTAATAATAATAATTACCACTGATGGTTTAACGTTTGCCCGCTGTAATGTAAAATAAAATTATTATAACAATTTTCTCAAAAGTTTTTTTATTATTATTATTATTATTTGATATTACAATATAAAAAGAAATTGTTTTTTAGTCATTTTTTTATTTTATTTAGTAATAATAATAATAATCAGTGGTCCAACGTTTTAAAATGAAGACATAAATATACAATTTTTATTGTATTTTTTTTTAATTTAATAAAATTGTATTGTAATTTTTACAGATGTAATGTAAAAAGTTTATCATTATTATATGATTTTTCTTAAACAATTTTTATTTTACAGTGAAATATTTATTTTTTTTATTTTTTTTATTTTTATTTTTTATAATAGTATTAATTACCACTGATGGTTTAACGTTTGAAAATGAAGATCTTAAGAGAGCCATAAATAGTAATATTGTAATTTTACAGTTGTACTGTAAAATAAAATAATTAAATTATTTTTCTTATTATATTGTGATATATCACAATACTAATATTTTTATTTGTCTTTTAGTAATTCGTTTTAATTTAGTAGTAGTAGTAATGATAATAATTGATATAATTTTATAGCTATATTGATATATAATCACAATTTTTATCAGAAAAATCTCAATTGGATTGTTTCCCCCCAATCAGAACGGTTATGTTGTGTGACTCTGATGCATTAATGCAGCATAAAAACCAGGATGTTTTGGATTTAGCCTCATTTCTGTGATCTAGATTCCAGCCGGGATGCCGCTCCAGCGTCCAGGAGCCGATGCGAGGCGTTCGACTTCGACGCGCTGCTCAAACAGGCTCGGAGAGGACTGACGAGTTAGCAGCGCAGAAGAAGAGTTCAGTTCAGTCTACGCCGGTTCACAGCAATATTCTGGGTTCAATACAAGTTAAGCTCTATTAAGTAATAACTCATATAAATGAGGATGGCAGCCGTACAGATGGTGAAAACTTCTGTTGAAGTGCTTGTGCTTAAAACATGTTGTACGTAAGAATGGAGCGGCATTAAAGATGAAATTGTCATTATGAAAGGAAAGTCAGCTCAGTTGAGTGGTTAGTGGTTGTCTTCTACAGTGTGTGTATATATATAGCCTGAGTTTTTTGAAGTGATACCAAAAGAATAAAAACCCTGTTCTTCAGCTGGAGTGACGACGATACTGTACCTGAATAAAAGTGTTTATGTATTAACGAATGACTTTCTGTTCTTTACATTAAACTCAGAACACTGTAAATGTAATGCTTGCAAGTGTGCTACTGCGCAGAGATTCCTTTATTTCAGTTATATGAAGTTTTTGATGATTATAATTTTATTATAATTAATTATATATATGTATATGATTTATATTACATAATTTCAGTCATCTGCTATTCATTTTAGTTTTTGATGATATATAATTATTATAATAATTTATCATGTATATGATTTATATTACATATGAATTATTATATTACATAACACTAGATTGAGAAATGTAATTATGCCGGTTAGGTAATTGCACAGGTTTAGTAGAGCACATGGCAGCCCAAAAATATTAAAACTATAATAACAACAAAAAAAAAATGCGACAAATAAAGAACATCGATCAACAAAATAAAACTAGAAGACATTGCAAAAATACAAATAATTGAAATATAACACTATTTCTTAAGATTATTATGACGTTGCACGTAGAAGTCACACTGTAACCTTTTTTTAAATTATTAATTTTAATTATTTTTCATGCTGGGATCTATTCAGGTGTGCATATTATAAAAGGGGCAATAATTCTAGAAGTGTTTTTGACGGAAAGGCGAAGAATAAATTTTATTGTCAGTTTTTCATTGTATAAGTTTCAAAGGCACATTTGACATTAATTCATGCAATTATAATATAAGTTCTAATGTAGTGTAGTCTCTCGTGCCGTTTATTAATCATTGAATCGTTACTTTGTGTGTTGTAGCGTTACCTGAAACAGCTGTAGAGTCGCGGAGGGCGGAGCTACGCGCGGGTGGGCGGGGCTTATTTGACGGCGTGACCTCGCGTACAATCAGGAAGTAGAGAGATTATAAACATAAACATAAATCCAAAACAGCTGATTGCGTGTCATCAGACCCAGACCTCGTCGAGCGCTTCAGACCCATCCAGCAACAGCAGGAATCATGTCCAAGAAATGCGAGATGTTCCTCAGTGGAGTAGTCGAGGGTGAGTCACTAAAAACATGTGAAATAATAATAATAATAAAAGTGTAACATAACATAAATATACGTTATGATAACATAAATGATTAATGGTAAGGTTAATGCGATTACAAAGTAGTCATTTTGTTTTATTTAGTCATTAATAATGTTTATTTTGCAGTGAAATATTACTATAGTAATATATTTTTATTTTTAGTTGTAGTAATAATTATAATAATTTTATTTTGCAGTAAAAATATCATGATAGTCATTTTTTAGCCATTTTAGTTTTTATTTGGTAGCAGTATGAGTAATAATAATAAATATCATTATTATTATTTTAAAGCCATATTCATAATATGGCAAAAAAAATGTGCCAAATTGTGAATCCCTAAAAACATGCGCAGCACATACAATTTTTTAATCATATTATAAATTGCGGTCACAATTTTTAATGCTATTATCATGTACCCAGAATGTACAATAAATGCAGGACATATTATATAATAAACAAGATACACAATTCATAGAGTTTTCCATATTATGCATTACTGTAAGTGTTGAGACAGAGCTGCATGTGTTCTGGATGCACGGCTGTGTGACGTGAGCTTTGTGTGCTGCAGGGTTTTACGGCAGGCCGTGGACTATGAGCCAGAGGAAAGAGCTCTTCACCAGGTCAATGAACCGCTCTTATCACATGCCATCAGCTCTTATCAGCTCATTTATCTCACTTCTTCTCTGTGCGTGCGTGCATGCGTGGTCTTATCTTCACAGGGAGCAGAGATGGGGCTTGAACGCGTATCTATACGCACCGAAAGATGATTACAAGCACCGGATGTACTGGAGGGATCTGTATTCACTGGAGGAAGCAGGTGACCGCGACGAGCAGCACTTTTATCCAGAACGCCCTACACTGCATTCAGTTTAAACGTATTTGTATTAGAGGTGTAACAATACACTCACGATTTGATATTTGATGCACAGCACTGCATACTGAATACTGAATACGATACTCTCACAGTGCTTTAGACCAGAGCCCGCTGGACTTTGATTTGGCCTAACATGCAGGGAAAAGAGGGGGAAAACGTGCTATTGAAGCAAATCTTCAAAAATAATTTATATTTTTGTTGTAACATTTTTGCATTGAAATGCACAAAAAATAAAAAATTGTGTTTAATGATTTAATTAAAATAATATAATTAGATATAATGCAAATTTAACTTTTTGCCCACAGCCCAAAAACTTTGTGCATGTCTGCTTAATAGAGTGCAAAGTAGATTTTTAAACAATTACATGTAAGACATGAGAACACGGTTAACCAAAGTACTGTTGATTAACCAGAATAGAAATATTCATGTTTCTGCTTAGCCAAAAATACTGAATTATGTTAGACGCTTATGCTTGCTCTCTGTGCCTGATTACAAAGATTTAAAAGCTTTTAAATAATAATAGTGAAATAATAAATTATTATTAATAATAGTAATAATTAATTATAATAATAATAATACATTTATTTATATATATTTATATTTATTTTATTATTAAAAGGTTTTAAATAATAATGGTTAAATAATAAATTATTATTAATAATAGTAATAATTAATTATAATAATAATAATACATTTATTTATATATATTAATATTTATTTTATTATTAAAAGGTTTTAAATAATAATGGTTAAATAATAAATTAATAATAATAATACATTTATTATATAATAATCACTATTTAATTCTGAGCTTCTGGGTTTGCCATATTTGATGCGCCCGTTGTAAGTGTGTAAGTGCTCGTATGTGAATAAAAGCTTGGACCAGCAATAAACAACAACATAAACCCTACTCCACAAACATCTTGATCACCTTAAGCAGAGCAGGACTGTATTTTCTGAAGATAAGGCGCTTGGTTGTGTCTTCCAGAGCAGCTGATGACGCTGATCTCCGCCGCGAGGGAGCGTAGCGTGGAGTTCATCTATGCCATCTCTCCAGGCCTGGACATCACCTTCTCAAACCCTAAAGAGCTGACGGCGCTCAAGAGGAAGCTCAGCCAGGTGCAGACCGCTGGAAAGCAGTCATCAGCTATTTTATTGAATCTTTTATTATGAGTGATTTCTTTCTGAATTCTGTGCAGGTGTGTGGGTTCGGCTGCCGGTCGTTCGCGCTGCTGTTTGACGACATCGAGACAGAAATGTGTCCGGCTGATAAAGAGGCGTTCAGCTCGTTTGCTGAAGCTCAGGTGTCCGTCACTAACGAGCTGTTTCTGCATCTGGAGGAGCCACACACCTTCCTCTTCTGCCCCACCGGTGAACACAGGCGTCGCATTCAAAACAGTACATCAGTGATGCTAAAACAACCACAAAATAACCTGAATTGTGTGTATGTGGCCCTGGAGCACAAAACCAGTCATAAGTGTCAATTTTGTGAAATTGAGATGTATGCATCATCTGAAGCTGAATAAATAAGCTTTCCATTGATGTATGGTTTGTTAGGATAGGACAATATTTGAAAATCTGGAATCTGAGGGTGCAAAAAAATCTAAATATTGAGAAAATCATCTTTAAAGTTGTTCAAATGAAGTTCTTAGCAATGCATATTACTAATCAAACATTAAGTTTTGATATATTTACGGTAGGAGATTTACAAAATATCTTCATGGAGCATGATCTTTACTTAATATCCTAATGATTTTTGGCATAAAAGAGAAATGTATAATTGTGACCCATACAATGGAAGTAATCAAAATCAACAAAAGAGCAATGATGCAAAAAAAAAAAAGCATCATAAACTTATGACTGCTTTTGTGCTCCAGGGCCACATATTTTAATCATTACTTCAGCGCACTACAAAATAAAGAACCAAAACGCTGCCAAACACTTAATAAAATCTAATTTCATTATTATTATGTTATGTTAACATCTTTTGTTTCTAAGCCTATTTTTAGGACCTTCAAGGATTTAATTTAATTTGTAAATTAAGCTGATTTACTCACAAATTCGGATTACTATATTGCAAATATTTAGTTATTTTTCATCTAGTATTTGTAATTTTTTATCTAAAATTAATCTGATAATATGCAAAATATCATTTCCCATATTTTCCTCCAGCTTGACCATCATTCTCAGTTTTGACCGTTTCTTCAGTGCACAGCAAAATAATGAAGGAAAACAGTGATAAACTCTCACTTCATTATTTCCGTGCATTCTCTGGTTTCTGCAGATTACTGCGCTGCGTTCTGCACTCCTAGCGTGCCGCTGTCTGCGTATCTGAACACGGTCGGTGAGAAACTCAACGCTGGGATCGACATTCTCTGGACGGGTAACATCACGAGTTCTTCTGTGACATTTATGCATTTATAGATTCATGCATTTGGCAGACGCTTTTATCCGAAGTGACTTGCATTGCATTCAGACTCATGCATTCCCTGCGAATCGAACCCATCACTACTGCACTGAACTAAATGCATGAATGCATGCATGCATCTCAGTGAAAGTGGTATAAAGGCACTTTTTTGACATGCATACTGTGCTTCTGTCCCGTCAGGGCCGAAGGTGGTGTCCCAGGACATCAGTGTGGCGTCTATAGAGGAGGTGTCAGCCGTTCTGCGGCGGCCGCCGGTCATCTGGGACAACATCCACGCTAACGACTACGACCCGCAGAGACTGTTCCTGGGGCCCTTCAAGAACCGGCCCACCGAGCTCATCCCCAAACTCAGAGGCGTCCTCACCAACCCCAACTGTGAATTTGAGCTTAATTTCGTGGCCATTCACACGCTGGCCTCGTGGTGCAGCTACAGACAGAAAGACGTCTCTATGGGTAAAGATCGCTTCTGTTCAAACGTAACGGCAGCGTTTGCATCGTTTATTAATAATGTCTGTGACATGATGTCGTCGCTCCACAGATGGAGACGATCAGGGCTCGGACTACAACCCCCATGAGGCTTTGCGGCTGGCGCTCTCTGATTGGCTGGTTGAGTTTGGCAGAGCTGATCAACCTGATGGTGAATAAATTAATAAAGATGCCATAAGAACATTTCA